TAATCCAGTCATCTACTTTTGGGCATTTGGGCTGCTTCCATGTTTTTCCAATTGTAAATAAAGCAGCAATAAACATGGGGGTACAAGTATCTTTTTCACTTATTTTTATTTTTAATCAAGCCTAGTTAATGTGTAGTTTAGCCTTATTAGGTAAAGGAAAGTAAATTTTGTGTTATTTGTTTTTAATCCTAATTTGCAGATGGCCAGACAAACTTCACTGGACTTCTTTGTCAAGAAAAGACACACTTTCTCTGAATACAGAGGCAGTGGTAAAAGAAATGGTAACAATGGGAGTCATCCTGAAGAAACGAAAACCAAAAGAGTTCATACTACCTTCATGCGGAAGTATGATCCTTCCTATATCGAGTTTGGTTTCGTGGCCATAATTGATGGCAAAGTTCTAAAACCACAGTGCATTATTTGTGGGGACGTCCTGGCTAATGAAGCGATGAAACCATCAAAACTGAAGCGGCATTTGTATTCACAACATAAAGAAATAAGCTCCCAACCGAAAGAATTCTTTGAAAGAAAGAGTAGTGAATTAAAAAGCCCACCAAAGCAGGTGTTCAATGTTTCTCCTATCAACATTAGCGCTTTGCGGGCATCTTACAAAGTAGCACTTCCGGTCGCCAAGTCTAAGACGCCCTACACAATTGCAGAGACGCTGGTGAAAGACTGCATCAGAGAAGTCTGCTTAGAGATGCTGGGTGAGTCCGCAGCCAAGAAGGTGGCCCAAGTACCGCTTTCCAATGACACCATCGCTCGACGCATCCAGGAACTGGCTAATGACATGGAAGACCAGCTCATCGAACAAATAAAACTAGCCAAGTACTTTTCATTGCAACTGGATGAATGCAGAGAGATCGCCAACATGATCGTTCTTTTAGTGTACGTGAGGTTCGAACACGATGACGACATAAAGGAAGAATTCTTCTTTTCCGCCTCTTTGCCAACAAACACAACTAACTCAGAACTGTATGAAGCTGTGAAGAATTACATTGTCAACAAGTGTGGTCTGGAATTTAAGTTTTGTGTGGGCGTGTGTTCCGATGGTGCTGCGTCAATGACAGGAAGGCACTCTGAGGTGGTCACCCAGATTAAGGCACTTGCACCACAATGTAAAATAACTCATTGCTTCATTCACCGGGAAAGTCTTGTGATGAAAAAGGTATCAGCTGAACTAAATAGTGTGCTTATGGACATAGTAAAAATTGTGAATTATGTGAAATCGAATGCATTAAATTCAAGGTTATTCTCTCTACTGTGTGATAATATGGAAACTGATCATAAGCAACTGCTTTTGCACACTGAGATGTGGTGGCTGTCACAAGGAAAGGTTCTGTCGAGAATGTTTGAAATACGAAAAGAACTGTCACTGTTCCTGCAGAGCAAAAAACCAGTTTGGTCCCAGCTGTTTAGAGATAGGAAATGGACTGCCAGCCTTGCTTACTTATCTGACATCTTCAGTGTTTTTAATGATCTGAACGTGTCCATGCAAGGGAAGAATGCTACCTGTTTCTCAATGGCAGATAAAATTGAAGGACAAAAGCAGAAACTAGAAGCTTGGAGAAAGAGAGTTTCCGCGGATTGTTATGACATGTTCCATAATCTGACGACACTTATCAATGAAATTGGTGATGATCTTGACATAGCACACCTGCGAGCAGTTATCAGTGAGCATCTCACAAATTTGTTAGATTGTTTCGAATGTTATTTTGCATCAAAAGAAGATCCACGCATTGGAAATGCATGGATCCAAAATCCATTTCTTTCATCAAAAGATAATTTAAATTTAACTGCAAGTCTACAGAATGAGCTGTTGAGGCTGGCTACTGATGAAGGATTAAAAACGAATTTTGACAATTCAGCATCACTTGCTTCCTTTTGGATAAAAGTTAAGAGTGAATACCCTGAACTTGCTGCGATTGCTTTAAAATCTCTTCTTTTGTTCCCCTCAACGTACCTCTGTGAGACTGGGGTCTC